ATGACCCCCAAATAAAAAGGACGGAGAAAACAAGGAAGAAGCTCGACTGCAGGTCTGCACGGACGTGCCAGATTTGGCACGGACGTGCAAGGCTAAGCACGGCCGTGCCAAGTTCGGCACGGACGTGCAGAGGGGGCAGAATTGAGGCAGAACGTACTGCTAAGAATTGAGCAGTTCTGCACGGACGTGCAGATATTGGCACGGACGTGCAGCTACATCTGCACGGACGTGCTTAATTTGGCACGTCCGTGCAGGCCTTGGCAGAATGTTCTGAGTTTCTGGAGCACCCTGCACGGACGTGCAAAGTCTGGCACGGCCGTGCACCCTCTTCTGCACGGGCGTGCAGGCCTTGGCAGCTTGCTGAAGCTTTCTGGAACCTCCTGCACGGACGTGCAAGGGCTGGCACGGCCGTGCAGGGTCTTCTAAGCCCCTCTTTTTCATCTTTTCTTCTATAATGCTCCTTTCCTTGGCTTCTTTCATCCATCTTCTTGCTTCTAACCTCGGCTTTGTATCCATGGGCTCCATTTGGTCGTTCTTTTGAACCTAAAATCTCAACAAAAACACCAACAACCCGTGAAGCAAAGGATACACAAAAATTGCATAATAATAGAGTAAAAATGAACCAAAACGCAATTTATATCAAGTAATCTAGGTTCAAAACACCCTAAAATCGTATCAAATAGCAAGTTATCAGATACTTATCAGATCCTCAAAATGCCAAGTCACAAAATGGATATGTGTTCACTTATGGCAGCACTGCAATATCATGGAAATCAACAAAGCAGACATTGACCGCGACATCATCAAATCATGCAGAGTTGATAGCCCTCTATGAAGCAGGACGGGAATGTGTGTGGCTGAGGTCGATGACCAGTAATATCCAAAAGGAGTGTGGAATGAACACAATAACAGAAGACCCAACCATCATCTTTGAAGACAATACAGAATGTATCGCTCAAGTAACTGAAGGATATATTAAGGGAGATAAAACGAAACATATTGCCCCAAAACTGTTCTTCACACATGATCTGCAAAAGGACAAGGAAATAAATATCCAGCAAATTCAGTCTTGTGAAAATCTTGCCGACCTTTTCACCAAATCACTTCCTTCGAAGAAATTTGAACAGTTAGTTCACAAAATCGGAATGCGACATCTTCGTGAACTATGCTGAGATCAGGGGGAGTATTATATGTACTGCACTCTTTTTCCCTTCGATCAGGTTTTTATCCCACCGGGTTTTTCCTGACAAGGTTTTTAACGAGGCAGTATACCAAAGCATATAATACTATATCGTTGTACTCTTTTTCCCTAGCTATGGTATTTACCCCACAAGGGTTTTACCTAGCAAGGTTTTTAATGAGACAACTTGTACCCCATTCCATGTGAACGTTCAAAGGGGGAGTGTTGAGAAACATGATTGAATTGAACTTCACATGTGACTAAGTACAATAATTTGTATAAAGTACAATAATGTATATTATTGTATTCAATTATTTTGGCTATATAAATGAAAGTTCACGTATTGTGAACTTAAGTTGAAAAACAAGAAAAGAGTTTTCCTACCATTCTACTACTTACTTCCTATCTTCATCCCTTCACTGATAAATATCTTACCATCAGTAAAATATTTTTAACACTCCAATATTTTTTTCAACCCCTATGTGACAATTTATAATTGGGCCTAGTGTAAGACATTAGCATAACAAGAAAAAAACCTAATTTTAATTGCCCACACACAAATTTGTTGAACACAAAAAGCCCACTTTTCTCATACACTACTCTTTCTCATCTCACCTCCTCCTGAAGAGAGAGAAAATTACATCACTCAGAAAACACAAATTTCAGAGATAGTCGCCATTTCCAAATTTCAACCTTTTTCAGAAGAATAATGTATCGTCAAGCCACCGCCCGCCTCCTCCGATCCGCCAAATCAAAGGCTTTTTCAACGTCGGCGGAAGTTCCGGCGGAAACACCAGCAGGTGTGACAACATTTCTGGAAAAATGGAAGAAAAATGTTCCAAACATGGATCCTCCCAGTACCCCTTCTTCTTACATGAAGCTTCGTCCTCCTACTCCTTCTACTATCCCTTCTAAGCTCACTATTAATCTCGCTCTTCCTTACTCCACCTCGCTTTCTACTAAAGAGGTTCGCTTTTTTTGGTTTTCTCTGTTTTTTGGATTTGATTGTGGTTTAATTTGATGGTGTTTTGATGAAATTGGGATTATTGGGATCTGGGTTTTTTTGGATTTGACGTTAATTTTTCTGGGATGATTTTGTTTTTGGTGGATTTGTGATTTTTTTTATGGTCAATGTAATTAGGGTTTGTGTTGATTTGTTTGCTAATTGTTGGTAGATGTTAGTTGCATTTGTATTTTTGATGAATTAATATGGAATGGATTGTGAACTTTATCAAAATTATCTTTGTGTGGAAGGAGATAGTTGACATTCAATTTGAGTGGATTCTTCTAATTAGGATATGGGTAACTGGCCTAATATTCTTAATGCTAATGGTATAATTTTCCTTAATTTTTGCGTACATTGAGAAGTTGACATGAATTTCCATAAGCTTTAGCTCACTTATTGCTGCAAGAACTTGTTGCCTGTGCCTATCAATTATTGGTCAGCTTTCCTGCCTTCTCTCTAATGGTTATTTATAGGGGATTCTGCTTGTTTGGAGGAAATAGGTCCGTTGCCGAGAGGGTTAGTGTGTGGTGATCTTATAGCAGTACTTGGTAGAGAAGATAGTGTGACAGACTCTTGAGGAGGGTCGCAAATGAGAGATAGTTGCCGGTGCTGAAAAAAATAATTAAACTGCTTTTTTCTTAGGGTGCAATGGGTGAGTTCGTGCTAATGTACACTATAGATGAACTGATTATATTTCAATCAGATAGAGTCCTAAATCGCCAAATGCTTATTAAAGTTAAGTAATGATGGGGAAATAGAGAAAGGGGTTTTTGTGGATTTTGGTTAATTTTGGTTGATTTTGGATTTTAGGGTAATACGAAATATATACTTTGGATTGTGCCCATTTCGTGATTCAACACCTATTTTACTACTCCCTATAAAAAGATCCATTAAAAATCGTTGTATCTTTATTGTTTTTTTTTACATGGATTCACAAGCTAGAGTTTGCATGTTGATGAATGCTGTCAAAAGGAACTCACCAGATATTGTAATCATGTCCGAAGATTCACTGTACTTGAACCTTTGGATTATTTATTCATGATGAACTAAATAAAAATGGCCCATTAAAGTGTCTGTACTTATAATTAATTATGCTGAAGTAATTGACGGTTGTTGCATATTGGATGAAGGCTCAATTGGAAACAACCTTAGTGTTATTACAGGAGTGTGGCTTCAGGCACCTTAACCCTACCCAGGGTGGAATCTTTTTTTTAAGAAATTGGAAGTAATGTTGATAGTGGTGGATTTTTCTTTTGAATGGACATCACATATCAATGATATCATAGAAGCACCCTTATGAAATTCTTTATACTGATTACTTACTGAGATACAGATGATGTGAATCATATAATTTTTGAATGGTTCCAACAGAATTCGAAAGTGCAAAAACATGGGTAGTTGGCTAACTCTCTTTGATCTTTCAAACCTTCATGTTAGAATTTATCAAATTTTGTGTTTGGTTTCATTAGCCTTATACATATATAGACAATTTCTAATTTCTGAAATCTGCTGGACATTTTCCCCTCCTTGGTAGTTTATGCCCTGACATTATCACTTAATTAATTTATGTTGAGGCTCCAATGTGACTGTGTGGGAGTGTGTTTTTGCACTTTTGACATTTATTTTCTCCTTTGGGGTTGAGGTGGGAAAATTGATCTGTCTTTTCCCTGTATTGGAGAACTTTCTTATGAAAAGTGTGAAAGTAGAAAGACAAGAAACACAAATCACACTGCTCAACGCTTCTATTTATTAACACCCTCCCCCCCCCCCCCCTATCCTCATCCTACACTTGAACTAGTTTGTATTTGGTCTGCTTTCAGGTTGATATGATCATAGTACCTGCAACCACTGGTCAAATGGGTGTGCTTCCTGGTCATGTTGCAACAATCGCTGAGTTGAAGCCCGGGGTCATGTCAGTTCATGAAGGGAATGATGTGTCAAAATACTTTATAAGCAGTGGGTTTGCATTCATCCATGCAAATTCATATGCTGATATTATTGCTGTTGAGGCTGTACCTGTTGATCAAATTGACCCTGCTGCTGTTCAGAAGGGCCTTGCAGAATTCACTCAAAAGCTCAATTCTGCATCCACTGATTTGGAAAAAGCTGAAGCCCAAGTTGGAGTTGATGTCCACAGTGCTCTTAATGCTGCCCTCACTGGCTGATATTTAAGCTGAATGTGATTTTTCTTCCATTTTGATTTACTCTTATAAAGGCATGTTGAATGTTTAGGATCATTATACTGTGCAGCTCTCTATGGATGTTGCTGTGTTGGCCTGGAAAGCTTAATAAATTTTATGTGAAACAAGAGCCCTCCTGCCTTTCTTGTTGCAAACTCACAGAAGCGTTGTTTTTTATGCTCCGACTATTTTTTTTGTTTGTATGGCCAATCTTAAGGTCAATAGAAAAGTTGCATCATTTGACATGTATCCTAAATTGTTGGAGTTATTAGCTTTGAATGCTAAAGTATCTTTCTATTGTAACAAATAACATCACCAAGCTGTCCTGTCAAACGCCAAGAATGTTTTTGTTCAATTCATTTTATTGTTCCAAGAATTGTTTTTTTTTTTTTTTTTTTTTTTTTTTTTTCCGTTTTTTGTAAAACATATAATTTCCTTATCCTTCTTCATCAACTTTAAAGGATACTTTGAAAATTTTGATTTCATGATGTTTAGTTTCAAAGCAAATTAGTCCGAGAAGAAATTTAAGGAAATTATTATTGTTGCAGTTTTATATTCTGTTGGAGGCTTCTTTAAAGGTTCTCAGACATGTCCACTTAAATGATTTTCAGTAGCAAACTTGTGCGAAAAAGCATAAATCAAAGACATACTTCGTATAAACTTCATTAATCAAAAGCTGCCAAGTATAGCTTATACTAAAATTTACAAGGTAAAGCTTTAGAGCTGTAATTATGAGACGGTACAGGGCTTCTGTACAATTTACAAGACTAATAATTATAGCTTTCAAAGGTAAATAGAGCAAAAGGAATGATCTAACTCATCATCTCTACTACATGTAGCACTCACTGGTCTTTGTCACGAAGTTCTCGTCTTCATAGACAAAAACCACAGATGAATACACTTAAGCCTTGCAACCCCTCTGCTAGACTGGAATGCCTGACCGGTCACAGTTTGCAAGATAAATAAATCTTTTGGTTCTGTCATAACCTTGAGCGTTGTCTCCATGGGCATCCACCTTCAAAAGCCTGTTCTAATACGTCTTCCATTCGCTTGGCATAAATTATCTGTTGGTTGAGAGAAGTGAAACCATTAGAGAACAAAATCAATGGGCTCCTTTACATCAGACACCCACATTTTACTTCAAGTTATTCTAATTGTGTAAGGCAATAGATTTAGAACTTCAAAAAAAAGACATTACTTCAAGATTAGAAAGAACTGCTGAAGGCACTTCAACCAAATCTTTTGAATTCCTCTGAGGCAATATGATTCTCTTTATACCATATCGATGTGCCGCCAATACCTGTTACATAGCAGACAAAGAAAACTAACAATTAAGATAACCCAACTCCTACACCAAAGACCTTATGCCAAACAATATGCTAAAATTTTTAATGAGTGTCACTTCAATATAGTCATGTAACAGATTCACTTGACAGACAGATAGAAGTTCGGTTTTTGAGCAGAAATTAAGTCATAGACTTAAATTCCACTAATACAATCTAATTATCTACATTAGAACATATGCACTGGTGGATTAGCAGTACTCTGGTTATTCTACTGTTCATGATTAGAGTTTCACAAATTTAGACTAATGCAGCTCCCATAAACAAAGTGAAGAGCTGATACAAATAAAGGGAACACATATCAAGTTTAAAATTGAAGAATCCAACACATGTGATACAAAAGCAAGGGCACATACGTGGATTGGTCTCTCAGATTCTCACATAATGACAGTTGGCAGTTTAGGCACTCAGTAACCAAGACCCGTGATGAAGACATGTAATGATCAAACAAGTCCCAATGATTCAAATATAAGGACCAATATAAAAACTGCTGAAAGGAAGTGGTATGAAAATTGGGGGGGTGAGGGGTGGGGAACATTGCAAGCCAACCTTATCCTTAATACCACCAACAGGCAACACAAGGCCCCTCAAAGTCATCTCCCCAGTCATAGCCGTATCTGCTCTCATTCTCTTTTGACTTAACAGGGAGACGAGTGCTGTCACCAATGTTACGCCAGCTGACGGACCATCCTTGGGAACAGCCCCAGCAGGAAAGTGTATATGAATGTCCCTTCCCTCCATTAAGCTGATTTCACCAGTAGCAACTAAGCTCAGCTCCATGGCCCTCGCTCTCACCTATTTACATTTAGATTGTAAAAATTATGTCAAGTGCCATTATTGATTCAAAGATCTTGAACTCGTAGAGAAAAAAACATTCTTACCCTCTATATAAATTTACAAAACCTGGAAGTCAACAAAATTGAAATATAGTACTCTCAACATTCTATAATCTATAGTACTACACATATCTAACAGTAGCAGCTAGCTATACAATGAGAAAATTTACCCAAGTAAGAGCTATTTGTGCAGACTCCTTAATAACATCGCCAAGCTGTCCTGTCAAACGCAGTTCACCTTTTCCCGCCATTGTAGTAGCCTCAACAAACTGAACCTCACCACCAAAAGCTGTCCACACCAGACCAACAGAGACCCCAGGATTTGAAACCCGTTCTGCAGTTTCTCTATCATCATACTTTGGTGGCTGCAATCACAAGGAACCCTTTCTGAGAACCTTCGAAAGATTAGTGTGATTCGAAGTAAATCATGTGTTACTACCAAAGCAAGATGCTTTTAGTATCTAAAACTAATTCTTGATGTAAAACACAACACTCTTGAAGATAGAAATGGCGTTCATGCTTTATAAATTCAGCCAAAACCAAAACCAAAACTGATTAAAAAAAAAAAACCTAAAAACACCACAATCTCTTTCCCACTAGGATGACATGCTGCCGTGACAAAATCAACCAAGAAATTATGGTGACATTCACTAGGAAGCTGAAGACCAGTTCCACCTCATCTGAAAACTCCAGATTTCCTTAACCCAATCTTTTAATTCTCTTAATCTAGTCCTGGCAAGAGAAATCAATTTTAAAAAATACTGGCATTTTCCTCTAAAAATCTAATACGAAGTAGTTGTTTAAAAAAATCACAGAAATACATTGCTGTGAACACATGATGAAACCAATTGACTAAGCAGAAGCTAAGAGACTGTACATCAGAAGAAGCTCATCAACATTGTCAAATCAAAGGTAGCAATGAAAGACAAAAGGCACCCTAGATACTTACTCCCAGAACATTTTCAAGCATAGTTTCATCCACAATCAGAGGCGATATAACCTGCAATGCATTTGAAATTTCTCGATTGTTAACGCCCATTGGAATAACCTCCATTTCAACTTCAGCACCTTCAGCAAGTCTGCTTTCCTCTACTGGCGAAGAAAACTGATGGAAATCTTTACTAACAGCTGAAAAATTATCTTGCTCAGCAACTTTTACAGCTGCTGCACGAGCTAAGGCAGACAAATTCCTTTCCAAACTTCGTACACCAGCTTCTCTAGTATATCTTTGGATGATGAGTTTCACCATACCCTGCCAGAATTTAGACCCCTCATATCATAAAAGCTCATGTATGTAAAATTCATAATATGATCGACTTAAGTCCCAGGTAAACATGACCATAACACAGAAGCAGAAAAGAAATTATTTTATTTTCAAAAACCCAGAACTGAACTGAAACTTATTTTTTAGGGGACACTTGGATTAGGGGTAATATATAAAGAAAGATGAGTAGATTAGGTTGTGATAGATTAGGTGGTGATATAAGTAATTATGTAGTTAATCGAATGAGAAGGGAGGAGAAATATTGATTAACCATTACCCTTGTGTGGTGATGGGTAACTATTGCCTTCAAAATGATGGTAATAATTTCCTCGTTCCTCTCTCCTCATACAATCACTAACTCATTTCTTCTACAACCACCTTCATCCACCTCCATTTTCTTTATTTTTCATTCCATTGCCCTCTTGAATTATCTTTTATCCAAGCATGCCTATATGGTGGAACCGAGCCTAGGTCACCCCAAATCCCATATGTTCATAGGCAGTTGGTAGTTAAGATATAATGTCTCCAAAATACACTTTAAACTTAATTGTCAGCTACTGATTCATTTTAGCAGTTAAACGATTAGTTTAAATTCTTTCATGCATGCATGCGCCTATATATAGAATGAAGTATCAGAACAGTAAGGTTAACTAACTACCTCCGGAATCTGAAGGAACTCAGAACTCAATCCATGTTGGTCCATGACTCTGGGTATAAGATACTGCATAGCAATTTTGGCCTTCTCTTCAGGTGTATACCCAGGCAGCTCAATGACTTCCATCCTATCCAAAAGTGGAGGAGGGATAGGCTGCAACTTATTCGCAGTTGCCACAAAAATAACTTCGGATAGATCATATGGAACATTCAAATAGCTGTATAACTTTGGTTAGGGATGACATCAAATTCAAATCTATAGTCATGAGATTAGAGTGACTTGCTAATGTATACAAAAAATCTAACTTCAAATGCTGCTTCATACTAGCATAGCATTTGTAATCCAAGAGGATGCGGTAGCCTGTGGTCAAAAGCTTCCCAACCCTAATCAAAGCCTGTCCCTCCACTTTGTCACTTTTGATTGAAAAATTTACTGGGATAAGACTTGGAGATATATTTTGAAAGAAAGAATAAAGTCTTGCTCCTGTTCAATAGAATGAAAAGGAGAAGAGCAAGGGTGGATATAGCTTATATAGGAGATAGGAATAAAAAGAAAAAAAGTCAATCTGTCACTTTACCCCCTCCATCATTGACCTATCCACTCTTCATCAACCCCCTAGGCCCCTAACAAAACTTATAATAAAATTTAATTGGATCAAATATTCCCAAATAAAAAATTACTATAATTAAACAATGACATTTGGAGACACTGAGAAACCAAAGCCCCCTACCCCCAAACAATAAAGTTACACAAAGAAAAAAAAAAACTAAAAAGGAGCATTAAACCCCTCTTGTTTCCCTTCTTTCAAAGAGGTTGCGAGGAATGAACAATGGGCAATACGATGAGATAAACCATATAAATGTACCATATTAGAAGATCGGGAACGACCACAAGAAGTTACTGTTTAAAGAGACAAAACTTCTGGGGATATTATAAGTCATAAAGGATACTGGTCATTGAAACTCTTGTTCTGTTCAGGATCAAGGACTTCTAGCAATGCTGAAGCAGGATCTCCACGGACATCAGAGCCAGTTTTGTCAATCTCATCCAACAGCATAACAGGATTGGAGACACCCACTCTCTGGATACCCACAAAAGAACGTGATAACGACATTAGATAGCAAGCAAAAACAATAAACAATTGAAATCAGCATGCAGATGTGACTTTCAACGATGGAAAATGTGATTCCAAGAGAAGCAACCACTATTTCCAAATGAAAGTAACATCAAGGGAACAGAAAGCATTTGATTTTGTATTACTCATACAAATTGTTCAACGATACAATTATACAAGTAGTTATATTCTAGACAAGATAAGAAAATATGCATAAGAAACGCAGCAAAGGAACACCCTCTCTATATAGCAAAGAAGTATTTCCTCCAATTCTCAACTGATTATGTGCATAATTACTAACTTACCCTCAACTTTAGGTGGGGAACAAACTCCACCATTTGTGCTTAAAGCCCTTAAAGGTTAGCACGTGGGCTTTTTTGTCAATTACTCCACTCTCCCTACTTATCCGCAAGAAAGCGGGTGTGGCAGGCATTGCAAATAAACTAAGGGAAAATCACCTACGTTGGTTCAGGCATGTAAGACGAAGACCACAGGGTGCACCGGTACGAAGAGTGGAAGAGTGGGATCATGGAGTGGTTAAACAAGGTAGAGAGAGACCGAAAATGACTTGGTTGGAAGGAGTTAGGAAGGATATGAAGCATATGGATTTGCATGAGGTATTTAATCGTAAGGGATGGAGGAGGAAGATTTTTGTGAATGACTACACGGAATAATCATTTTTGGTTCATGTAGTCGACCCCACTTATGGGATTAAGGCTTTGATTGATTGACTCCACTCTTCCCCATTTATTAGTTTGTGACTTTGGGTGCCATTTACAAAGGATGCAAAAATTGAGAAACGGAGGAAGTATTTTATAATTAATCTATTAGAGGTATACTTTACTCGATTATTGTCTAACAGCGTCAGATATGGTTCCAGTTAGTATAGAAAGCCATCATATATCAATATAAATACACAAAATAGGATGAATACACCTGAAACACTTGTAAGGGGATAATAAAACAGCTATTGCCAATGAAAATAATATAGCCATGAGTATTCTACAAAGTCAAAATAAACAAATAAAATAGATAAGACGTATCTACCTTGATTCCATCAATAAGACGACCTGGCATACTCCCAATGTATGTCCTCCTATGCCCTCTAATATCAGCTTCATCCTTTACACCTCCAAGAGATATTCGTATGAATTTTCTGCCTAGAGCAGCAGCAATAGAAGCGGCCAAGGATGTTTTCCCAACACCAGGTGGGCCAACAAAGCACAAAACAGGACCTTTTGCATCTGGTTTAAGCTGCAATGCATACAAATCCTATTATTATACTGCTATTACCACCAATGAGAGAAAGAAAAGGAAGATAATCTACCTTACGAACAGCCAAATATTCGATGATACGTTGCTTGATCTTGGCCAATCCATAATGGTCACTATCCAAACGCTCTTTTGCAGCTCTAAGATCTAGTTTCTGCTCTTCAGTAGCCTTCTGCCAAGGGAGATCAGCAAGAAGCTCCAAGTAGACACGAGAACTGTTATATCCAGGCTGCTGAGGCTGCATCTTTTTAAGTCTCCTGAATTAAGAAATTAAATTTAACTATAAGGAAGCTGCAACATAGTAATAAGAATACAAATCATGCATAAAAAAAACTTGATTTAAGAAATACAAGGTGATCAAATTTAATAAATTTCTTAGAACAGCTACAGAGCTACTCCCTCCGTTTACTTAAGTTCTACTTACTTTCTGTTTTCATCCGCTTTACTAAGTTCTAGTTGCTGTTACTTATGTCAACCTTTTATTCATATTTTATCATCACCCATCCCCCTTTTTGTGACCCAATTATATTTAATAATTCTCTCTCTCTTCCTAAAAGCAAAAGTACCACATGAGTGATCTCCCTTTTTGAGTTATCCTTGGTTTCTGTTGCTAAGTAATTGAGTAGAACTAAGGTAAACGGAGATATTACAAAATTTCAATAGGGATAATTGACTACTGCTGATGAAAAGAGAACAAGATTTAGGGACTTGCATTTAAAAATTAAGCAAAAAAAGGGTAAATAAAAAAATTCAGAGAGTTACACACAACTCAATGCACATCAGATCATACCTCAACTCCCTCTGTGCATGTTTCCAAATATTTGCTGGCATTCCCGCACTTTGCATTTTCCGTTCAAGAACGGCAACATCATCCTCATCATCATCATTGTCTCCAAGCTCTTCTTTTATAGCTCTCATCTAAGTACAATTTACGCAAGAACATAGAAAGCAACATACATAAATTTCAGCACATAAAAAGTGGCAGAAAAATTATAGTCAGGCGCCCAGATGTAATTTCAGATACCATATTAATGATAATCAGACAGAAATACTTGAGTTTAGCAACAGTGAGCTCATAATCTAGGGTCAAAGAAAAACAAAAGGCTACAGGTGCGCAGTTTATTATGGATCCTGCCTCACGTAAGCTTTAGAAAGGGAGAGGTGCACAAATACCTTACTATTAAATTTAGAAGGTGGAACACAAAGGATAGAAATCTATCTTTTACAAATACAGGGAAGATAAACGTAAACATGTCTGTGGTCAATTGAGTCCCAATACGCTTTTTCCCTTTTAATTGAAGCAAAAAGGTGTAATGCTCCTGTCAAAACCCTTATCCAACAACAAAAGGGGAGCAAAATGCCAAGATAAATTTAGTTTGCTCTTGCTACAGAAAATATTTCATTTCAACTTTTGGGATCCAATGAGCAGGGGATTTTACCCTTTATGAAATGGATAATAAAAATGTGTTGCATTCACCTGAGATCTGATTCTCACAACTAAATCTTCAGTAGAGGAATGGAATATACCTGTTGCCTCAGAAGGAATTCTCTCTGTGATTTTGACAATTGTCCCTCAACTTTTTGCGTGATCTTCTCAGCTACACGAATTGACTAGTAAGACAATGCCATTCAAAGAATAAGGTAATAAGCACATGAAATATTAAAAGACATATATGACTTGATTATACAGACCACCATAGGACATACCTGCAAATGCCTGTCAACCAATTCAGTGGCTTTTGATAGCCTAACTTTTAGATCAATGGAATCCAACATACATAGCTGCTCCTCGAAGCTTATTTCAAAGCTTGCAACAAATATATCTGCCAGTTTGTGTACAGGGACAGTCTCCAAAAGAACTTTTGTCCTCCCACCAGTCTTTTGTTTCTGTCATCATGAAAGTGTAAGTTTAGATTTAAAAAAAAAAAAAAAAGAAAAATAAAGATAATAAGACAGCAAAGCTCTCCATGATCTCATTCATCCCATATAATATGAAAATCGAAGAGCCAAGGACCAATCTATCTAAACTTTCAGATAATATTATGATGCTTTATATTCTAAATTTGAACGACCAAAATATACCATAGCCAATTAACCATATACTTCACCTGCTCAAGAACTGAGATGAGCTCCATGGCAGTCACTTTGAACTGTCGAGCTAATGAGACAAAATCAGGGTCCTGCTCTGCTTGGTCCATATCTGAACCAGATTGAAAACATATAATTCAACATCCATCATAGACAAGATATGAAAAGATCGAAAGCTATACCTCTACATATAAAATTGAATTAGACTCATACAAACGCATATGTTATGTAGGGAAGAAAAAAAAAAGCAAGTGTAATATCATGTTACGAAGTCAGTAACAGCTAATATGGAGACATCACAACTACTCTTTTGGTTTTTTTGTTCTTCGATTTGTTTCTTGGTGTCTTACATCAATACAAGTTATTTATCCTAATACACTACCAAAACAATATGCAATTCTAAATACTGGATAAGTATAGAACTTATGAGTTCTAAGAAGCAATGCAAAAGTTGACAAAGACGAGACACACATAATTAAGTTAATAAAATATTATAAGAAAAATAGTAATCTCGTAATATAAGTCAAGAAAGAAGTACTACTCCATATGAGAACGCTCCCGTACAAAACAATATCCTCTTAAATCTACCCTACACATATTTTGATATAAATATTTCAAGCACAGATACAACTGCTTTTCTTCACAATTTTTTGATCCAGATTATCCTCTGAGAAAGAAGTAGCAAAGAAAAACTAAACAATAAAAAAATAATCTCAACCACAATTGCAGTACCTAAAAAATTTTGCCTTAAAGAAACCTTACCAAACACTTTGTAACAGAGAACTAGAGAAGTGTATCTAGCAGTTGGGATGAAGGAAGGGAAATAAACACAGGCTGATCATAATATATGAATTAGATTAGGTAAAATCTGTTCAAAGCCCCCCAATATATAAAATAAAAGAAACTGCCATTAACCAACCCACAAGCAACAACAAACAGATCATAGTGATGATGCAAAACCTTAATCACCTAACCTATGTTAATGATACGGCTAAAATTGCGGAGTGTCTGTGTGACACGACAAGGACACGGGATCCGTGTCCGACCCTTCACTATGCACTCGGACACTTCCATTAAGAGTGGAGAGGAAAAACGAGGAGAAGCATGAAAGAAAAACACATCTTGTTCAAAGTCCACCATTGATATAAAGAAGATGGAGAGAAGAAGACTGCCATTTATTGGGAGAGCTTACCGAGGAAAGAATTAAAATTTAATAAAAAATAAAAAATAAAAAAAAGGGGTGGACATAATGAAAAATTTAAAGCTTTTGTAATATATTATGTATTGACGTGTCCCCATACCCGTGTCCGAATAACGGAAAGAGTCCCCGTGTCTAAAATTTTGGACACTTGGACATGTGTCCGTGTCCGACCCGTTCCAGAGTCCATGTAACATAGCACTTAACTGCAACCCTATAATTTAATCGAAAGCCCAACAATGTGATTTCTTCAGTTCCAAATGAGATAATTGAAATTTTGGACACTTGGACATGTGTCAGTGTCCGACCCGTTCCAGAGTCCATGTAACATAGCACTTAACTGCAACCCTATAATCTAATCGAAAGCCCAACAATGTGATTTCTTCAGTTCCAAATGAGATAATTGAAATCCCCCTCTTTCACTTGATCATTAAATGAAGTCCTACCTGTTGGCCTACAGAATACAATAGTGTATACTCTGTCTTCAACGCACACAGATATTAGTTAAACTGCAGTTTGACAGCCATCATCTTTGCTAGGCATGCTGCTATACAAAACAAATTGTATAATTCCTTGTCGATTAACATAAAGAACTTTTGATGTTCATCCCTCCCATTTAAGTTAGCACAAGTTAGGCCACATACTGCAGACTATTTCTCTAGAGAAAAAAAAGCTTTAAAGGTCATATATCAGCGTGAGGAACAAAGGGAGCTCAAAGGTTGGATATCAACCTTAAATTTCCCAAAGATCGCTCCAAAGGTCACTTACAATAAGACTAAAAAAGTTTCCAAGACATGACAAATACGTAAACTTGCTTTAGGCGATATACATGCAGATGATTTACCTGCTTTTGTGATGTCAAGTGGAGAAATTCTTGCAGTATAATAATTCCCTCTGCTATTAAGTTCCAGCACACTGAAGCGGCACAAGCCTTCCAATACTACAGTGTAAGTAACCCTCCCACTTGGTTTCTCCACCCCTCTTGAAAGGTGTAAGGCTCGAGCAGCCACTCCCCTAGTGATATCACATATTTGCTAATGTTAAATACTCACATAATTGATAATGTTAAATATTTTAACACATTTGCCACCAGGGTCCGAATACCAAGCAAGCAGAATCATTCAAACATGGTGCTATATAGGGATAAAAGCATGATGTGAGGGATACCTGCTGTGCCAATGAACAGCCTCTTGTTGACTTTTCCCATCTGCCTTTCGAGAATCTGACAAACCAGAGTGACTTTTTACATTGCGTTCCCCAGAGTCTGTCCCTCCACCTTAATAAAAAAGATCATATAACATACATAATTACACAATGGAGAAACTACCAAAGAATTTAGAACATATTTCACAATAAGTACCTGGATACAACACAGGTCCTACTGATGCAGATTCCGCTGCATCACGGACAGGAACAATGCCAATTAGCCCTTTCTCTTCCCTTTGCCATAACTCTTGCTCCACCAATTTTACACTGTAACAATAAGCATCACATCAGTATGTCCCTCCACTTGGCTACTAACAATTTAAAATAAAAATAAAAAATAAAAAATTAAGCTGACATAGTACGCTCACACAGCATGGCACATGCTCCATATTGGTAAAATCTATTATAAAATCTATTTGGCTAAGCTTCGAGGTTTATCTTATTAACACTTTGTTTGGATAGAAAGAAATGGAAGGAAAAGAAGAGAAGAGAAAGGAAGGGGGACAAATTCTCTTGTTTGGGTAAAGGATTGGGGGAAGGAAGGGGAAGGAGAGGGAGGGATCCATTTCCCCTCTCTCTTTAATAAGCATAATCCCTCCAAAATTGGAGATATTTGGAGGGAAAATGGAGCTCACCTCCCCCTCCCCCTCCCTTTCTTTTCCCTTCCCTTCCTCCTTTTTCCTTCCCCTTCCTTTCCTTCCTTCTTTGGTATCCAAACAAAGCGTAAAGGAGAAAATTTAAGTTCCAATGCCCAGAAAGTCTTTTCTAAATCAACCACTTCCAATAACATTGGGGATTAAGAAAAAAGTTTGGATTAATCTACTATGTTGGTCTACTTGTGAATAATGTCATCACAAGCTCCAATCTAATTCTGACTTATATGCCAAAACCTTAACAATACCATCTAAATTTTCTGTCCTTTCATATGCTCCCTGCATTTATTTTCCCCGAAACATCTCTTCATATCCGCGCTCCCAATTAACCTTTGATCATACTTATCTCTTCATCCCTCCATATCGTTTTCATATTTCGCAAGGATTAAGGTTAACAACATACTGCAAACCTGTATACCATATTAGATTTTCTATAATTTCATAATTTGATAATGAAATTCTCATTACATATACCTATCATTCCTATAAACCCGAATTCCATTCTCAAAACAAAAAAAAGTCCTTTCAAAAGCCACCAAAATCCAACTATTGTATCTTTCACTATAAAACTCATGATCATCGTAATCCAAACAACAAGACCTCCAAATTCAAGCATTCTCCTCCAACCAAATGATCGATTGATCGCCGACACAAAACATATTCATACATCATCAATAACTACACTAAAAATTCTAGTATTCTACTCGCCATAATTCTTGAGCAGCTAAAATTCCAGCTCATTCCAACAGTCAACAACTAAACACAGTGAAAATTCAAGAATCCCCAATTTCCAAAAAAAAAAATTACAAAAACCTACAAATTACTTCATAATTAAGAACACAATCAAACAAAATCAAATTAATAATCTCAAATTTCACAAAAATTAATAAAAATACCTGCTAGGAGAAGTGCAGCGAATACGAATAATAGCACCAGGTAACAAAACTTTGTTTCTGAAAGCGAGGATTCCTAAACGAGTTGGCAACTCAACTGGTTCCGCCATTAAAGGTTTTGATGGTCAAAATAATGGAGGAGGAGAGAGAAAGTGAGGAGAGAGAAAGAGAGAGAGATCAGAGGAAGAGGTGTGATGTGTATTCGTCTCCAGTTTTAGGGGAGAGAAGAAGAAGATGATGAAGAAGAACAACAACCGAACTCGTGTATTTTGTCTTTTTTATCGGTCTATCCTTTTCATGATTTTTTTTTATTATAATTATTTTTATTAATATTAATTGGCACTCAATTTTGCATTGTCTGTTGAAAATTTTGCTCAATAATTTGGGCCATTTGGCAGTATTAAGTCGGTTCATTAATTTATTGAATGAATATTGATGGTGAATTTTTTATTGTTTCGAATTTATTGAATTATTATGATTATTGAGTTTTTACTTCTTGAATGTTATTATTATGGGTTTGCTATCTTTGCACCTATCATGTTTTTTTTTCTTTGGATGAATATCTTTATCCAATATCAAATCATATCCTGAATGTTATCCAACAAAATCATACGAGTAATGGAGTAATAGTAATGTTGTCGATGATATATATATATATGTATGGGAATTGTGTACCAAAATTAAATACATTTTTTAAAATGATATGTTTACTGTTTTAAAATAAATATCCGTTTTAATTGGTATACTTTTAATTACGGAGTATCGATGAGTATAAGCGGTTAATTAGATTGATATTCAGAAGATATACGGTGAGATGTTTTCAAATAAGTATGTGCATGATTGTGTTTACTCTTATGTACGAAACATAAAACATAGCATGGTTAAAGTGGTGTATGTGAAAAGAGTTATAGTCAAATTGACACGTTTATTTTGAAAGTTGGGGATGAAAGGTGTATAACGAGTTTGATAATTTATGACAACGTTCACTTTCTCGTGATAAGGGTGTCCTCATCGTTTTCCTAATAATATTATTATATGAAATAGTAATTGGTACTTGTTTAACAAACTTTTCTTTTATACACGGTATTTAAGTTGCATCATTTGGACTTTTATATTATTCACACAAGTATATTTTAATCATCATTTGTGATTTATAGGCTAAAAAAAATACTTACATAAAATGATAATGTCAATCCACTGCCTTATTGGCTTACCAATCCAGGCCACAACATGATTTATTTCCTAATAGGCTAATAGCACTTTAGTTATGAAACAAAAAGATTCACAGTTGTACTTGAATTCAAAACAACTATTATACTTAGTTCAATTGCTCACGAAGGGTCTAAGAGTTGGAGATTTCAATATACTATACGAACGCTTCATGAAATACACGTGTCATCGAAAAAAATTGGGTGCACACAGTGAGTTCCTAATATTTGACAATAAAATTATAATAATTAATTTTTAATGTCATGTATTAAAATATTATTGTCATATAAGTCAGAATTAGATTGGTATTAAAATGCAGTAGTATGTAGAGTACAAAATATAAAGAATTTCCTCACGTAAACTGATAGACACATGCTAGTGATATTACGAAAGTACGAACCAACAAAAAATGTGCAATTTTGACCATTGTGCATAAAAATTGTGAATCGCTAAATCGCTAAACCACGCTCGGTATTTACCAAATAACGCCCGTATTTTAACATGACTTTATAAACATGCCCCCCATATAACATGTACCCTATTTCACTTTCCCTTCCTTTAACCACTCTCTAACTTGTTACCCCACCACCCACCAAACAGCTATCACCTTCGCACAACCACCACTCCACGTCATAATTTATTTATTTATTTTTTAAAATTGCTTTACTCTTCACCAATTAGCACAAGCGGTGAATGGACGAGTTTAAAGAAGCAACGATGCTACCGGAGAGGTTGTCGGAGCATACGGAGTCAGTGAGTGCTCTGAAATTTTGTTGTTTTTTTCCTCGTAATCACCAAAGGAACGCGTGAAATTTTAGAATCACCTTTGGAACATTCTAAAATTTCAGGTGTTTAGGGGGGAAATGTTTGAAATTTTAGAATGTTCTCGGGGGAAACACCTAAAATTTTAGAATGTTCTAAGAAAGATTCTAAAATTTCAGGTGTTCCTTCCATGGGACATTAAAAAGAAGCAGACGTTTGCCTGGAACGACTGAAGTAAAATAAAAAAAAGTAAAACAAGTACCTGATCGCCAGTCGCAACCCCCTTACCTTTCCGATTTGCCGACATCGTTCCTTGTAGCCGGTTGCAACCCTTGGTGGTGACAGAATTGTGGTGGCTTTGCTTGGTCGTGACGGAGTTGTGGTGGTTTGCTTGGTGGTGGTGGTTTGATTGGTGGTGGTTGTGGATGAAATTGCTAAGGTGAAAAGAGAGAAAGATTGAAGAGTTATTTAAGAAAAGGTTAATAAGGAATGTTCATATAAAGATATGGCGTTACCCGGTAAATACCGGGCGTGATTTAGTACCCAACACGAGGGTATTATCGTCCTTTTCAAATATGTATAGTACGTTAATACCTCAATACTAGTACCAGTGAATGGAAATATTACTAACTCAGAAAAAAAGGAAAAAAAAAAGAGAAGACGAAAGAGGAAGAAGAGGCGCTGAGAATTTGAACTTGTGTAAAAAAAAAATCAGAGGGAGAAGCAAATTTCAATCAATTTCCCTCCAAACTTTCAACACTCAACGACTATCAATCATCCCCAATTTCTTCAGATTTCATGCCTTCAATTCGTTAGGGTTTCTAATTCTCTCTCTTCCTCTCAATTTTCTGCAATTTTTCCCTTAATTTTTTCGATTTTTTTAAAAATTATTCCATCTACTTTGGAAATCTCAGCAGCAACAATGGCGGCAGCAACTTCATCGCCAGTTCTCAGCAATAATGGGTCTGAAACGAGTGGTAATAACGGCATCTCTACTCCGCCGCCGCCGTCAGCGACACCGCCAGCCGCCGTGAAAAGTCCCGGACTTCCGACGATTACGTTGCAAAGACCCGACCCGCCCAAGAATCTTCGGGGTCTCAACAAACCTAAGTGTATTAAGTGTGGTAATGTCGCTAGGTCTAGGTGAGTTTCTCTCTCTTTAAGATGTTTACTTTGGAATTGCTGAATTTGTTTGTTTGTTTGTTTTTTTTAAGAGTTTTATTTGTAGCATTGCTCTTGTTTTTGATGAAATTAAACCAATTTATCGTTTGATGTTGAATTATTGAAATAAGAAGCAATTTTAAGCAAAATTTTACACATTAAAAATTAGTTAGATTTATTTAAATTTGCACAAAGTATTGTAAAGTGATAATGTTGTATAATGTATACGGAGTAGATGGTGTAAAATGAATTATAACTTTACAATTATACAAGTGTCTTTTGATGTTATATTCGTATTAAATATCGCGATGATATTGTGAATTGTATGTTGGATACATTAGATCATTTAGATGTATTACATCATTTACATGACGTGTAGTTGTCGTTTGTTGGATAATTGGTTGTATTTTTTATTATACAACTTCAATTTGCAAGTGGTTTGGTTGTTATTTGGATAGATGGTTCTTGGAAATGTTTTCGATTTGTCCGATTGGGGTGATTTTTTCTCAATGTGAAAACGGGGCAACTAAAAGAGGGGGGGGGGGGGGTGGGGGGGTGGTGAAGGTAAGTGTTCTTGCTACTTAGCTTTGGGCTAAATTAACAAGCATGTCATAGCTTCCCAACAGGCCTTGCATAGTTGCATGCATGGGGTAGAGGTTTGATGCATATTGGAGAAGATCTTGCCTGGTGTTAGCTACCTAAATCTTGGCACAAAATTATTTCCTTCAAAGATCTATGTTCTAGTGCGCTGAAATCTTGAGCCTTGTAACTTTTTCCTAGGTATCCCCGGGTCTATGTCATCTTTTCTGCCAGCCCTTATTAAGACCTCTCATATCCTCAGTGATGCATCGAGATGCCACCTTCTAACATAAACATTTATATCTTGTTTCTTTCATCTTGCCATCAATAAACTGGTACTCTAACCTCAATCCTTATTTACACCATTCATTATCGATGTGATTGCACATCCAACTCTGCATCCTCATCTGTGATAATCTGCTTCTAGGCTTAGGTTTGATTGATTGGTAAGGCCAATGGCGATTGCAAGTTTCTGTAGGCGATTAGATTTCCTACTTTCTCCATTTCAGATTTTTTTTTTTTTTTTTTTTTTTTTTACTAGGGATTGAGTGTGCAATCTTAAGAGGATAACCCAATTGAATATATTAATGACTAATTACCAGTTACTCAAGATTACTGTGATATCAGTGATGGGGGTAACTCCAAATGCTCCTGTAGGAGGCGAAGAACGTAACTTGTGCTGGAGCATAAGAAATCTTCGTAAGAGCTAATTACTTTCTTTCTATTTGTTAGGGGGGGGGGGGTTGAAAATTGGATATCAACATCCTAAGGGGACATTTGTTTCACTTTCCGGCCCTATGAGGATAGGAATAGCCTATGGGTTTAAACCTAAAGTATACCTGAATGATTGAAAACCATTACTTAAAGCCAAACGTTTGGTTGGAATAACCCGACATTCCAACTCTCACTGCATTATTTTTCTCTGCCTCCTCTCCACCCTCGATTTCCTCTCCAAATCCCTCCCTTCCACTTCTCTTCTCTTCCTCGTCCTCGTCCTCTCTTCACCTTCAACTTTCTCTCTCCATCTATTGCCTCATTCCTACCGCCTCATGTCTCCACCATGTCCTGAATTCAAAATACCAAATCTGGAATGTAATTGGTGCAAAGTTCTTGCAATGTAATTAGCTCCCCTCTACCACATTTCTACATGAATTCTCACTTTCCTTCCTGCTCCCTGATCTTGTGAAATTGGAAGTTTAGCGGTAAAATCTAAAAATGACTGTCTAAGGGGTAGATTGAATATATTAGCGGCAGTTCTAGCAGTGGCAACGGTAAGGGTGGCGATGGTCAGGGAAGGGATACATGGAGCAAGTGATGATGATTTTGGTAATGGCTGAGGTCGTTTCATAAGTGTGGATGGTGTAAGGGGCAGTGCTGGTAAATATGATGATGATGGTGGATGAGGAGAGAAGGAGAGCTACATTGAGGGTTTGGAGGATGAATCCTTCAGATTTGATTTTAGTTGAAATCTGAACCATATATGAGACACGGGTTTGGATGAGGCTCCAAATTCTTCTCTGATATCTAAATCAGTGAACCAAACGCCCCATCCAAAATCTACTGATTTATTTGGGTAAGAAATACTTTTTCCAGTGTGTATCACGGGCTAAGGAAACTCAATAAATGAATTATACAGGTATTGTTCTTTCACTCTTAGGGTTCCCGGCATATTTTGAAAATTTGAAGTTGCATGACCTTCACATAGTTTTTCATAGTTTAATACTTATTATACTTGTGCAAGTGCATCTTGTTTTATGCTAGAAGACACCTTGTGTTTACAGGGTTTTCTGAATTTCTGATATATATATTGTTAGTAAAATTCGGTCCTTACCAGTTTTTGATTGTTATCTATGTGCTTGGATGGCTTTGTGAATTCGTGTCTTCTGTAGAATTAATTTATTGTTATTATTATTTAATACAGGTGTCCTTACCAGTCTTGTAAAAGTTGCTGTTCTAAAGCCCAGAATCCTTGTCATATACATGGTAATTTTCTAATTTCTTCTCTTTAGTTACAATTCTTATTTCAACGTGAAGGTGTTCCTGGAAAAGAAAGTTGTGAAACTGGAATATGATTACTGTTTGCTCAAATGATTTATTTCAATGGGCTCCATGATCAGAGCTCAGTTTGTTGCTTTTCAGATTCGTAACGAATGAGTTTGAAGAACAAGTAGCTTGATTATAGATTCCTCTTAAACCTTTATGCTCAGAAAATTGTGGATTTTATCATTAATTCTGGGCTCTTTCTGCAGTTTTGAAGCCAAATTCAACTCTAGCGGATAGGGGAGGAGCTTCTCCAAACTCCACTATACCTGAGCAGCAGCCTAATGAAGCAGCAGCTCCCGGGTATTGCCTTTTTTTTTTGCTTATAGGATGTTTTTGCAAAATGGATCAAAATTTCTGGTGTAGCTTGAGATGGAACTGTTGACATATGATCTGGGACCTAGTTGTAGCTTATGAAATATGATGCAATTGCATGCACCAGCACCATCCCAAATACTTTTCTTGATCTTTGAATTTCCTACAATTATTTCCCAATTTTTTCAATGATCTCATCAACTTTGTTTTTTTGAAAGGAATCTAAATTTGGAGGGGACTGTCTTCTATTCTTTTGCATTTATCTTATCTGCATTTGGTTGGTTTCAGGCCTCAGTCGAAAGCAACTTCACTTCGACAGCTTTCTAGCACTTTCTCACAATTCAACAATGTGCATATTCCAGTCCGGTCAAGGAAACCACCAACTAGAAAGGTGCAGGTCTTATATTAATCCATGTTAATGTGATTGTATTATACATGTGTGTATTCTGAGCTTTGATGTGCAAACTTCAGGAGGCGTTGATTACAAATGAATGGAGATTTGCCAAGTTAAAAGAATATAAGGAGGGAAACATTGAAGCAGAAAATGTAGCTTTTAATAGATACATGCAGAATATCAGTTTACTAAAAGAGGTATTCAATGTTAATTCTGAGAGGCCAGATGAGAATGGCTCCATGGTGTCAAATCCTCCCACGACTTCTGGTGAGAGAATGGAGATTATTTCAGAGACCAAGGTAATGCTTAGATCCAATCCTGTAAGAATTGATGCGTTCAGGAAGAGGATTCGGCAGACAATAGATCAGGGATTAGAAAAGCTACAGAAGTGTAATTCAATTGATGTTCCTAGCAACTTAGACAATGAAGATGATCCAGCCCCAAAAGTAGCTAAAAATTGGTGGTCTGAAAAGACCTCGCCCTTGACTGAATTGAACTATAAGTTGGATAAAGCTCGAAATGAGGAGGATTTGAAGCACTGTATCAAGATGAAGTCCAAAATTACAGGTCAACAAAAATTAAGCTCGGGAAAGAAAACCAAGAATTTTGAGGTATTGGAGGAGCAGACCATCCAGAACAATTTGCCTTCAGCACAAGAATCTGATGTTTCTTTAAAACTGGTGAGAACTACTGAAATTGATCAGGATGCTTTGAATCGCATGGATTCTCGTTTTTCATCCCTAGAGGAAATAGAAGATTTATAATTTTTGAACTCTCCTTATCTCATTAGAGGGTTGTGGATTATCTAACAGTTGATGTAATCTTGTTATGATCTTCAAGAGTATAAATTGTTATAATTCAGCTTTACTGATAAAGCTGCTAAGGAGTTGGGATATCTGCGACTGGTTTGATAAGGTTGTGTGGGCATGGGAATTTTATTGAATGCCATGTCACTTATTGTTTAGGTTAAGGTCATATTGTTGACTTCATGCATGATTGATTAAATAATTAATTGGGTTTATAAATTATTCTGATCCATTTTATTTATTTTAAATTAAACTCATTTAATTACACTGTAAAATCCAATTATTTCGATCCATTTTTATTTATTTATTTGAATTAAAATACTCATTTTATTAAATTGTTAAGTCCAGCAACGAGTAACAATAGTTTTAAAATGGGTCGTGGGCTCATGGTTATAATAATCTCTTCGAAAAAGGCTCTACAAGGAGGTTTTGGGCTAATTAAATGTGTAGTTATTGTCATAAGGTTCATTCATGTAGAGCTCCCATACTCTGGAATATGCAACAAGTCATTGTGTGTTAATGTAAAGATGCTTTGTAAAATAGCATATATAGAACAATAGAACGTGCTTCCTTCATTTTATTATATTTGACACGTCTTTTTGATTTTTTATATACACGTGATATATGCTTTAAATTATCTAGATATATATGCACCAATTATTTTAAGAAACAAGTAAAGATTAAAAGTATTTTAGGTATTTTACATGAAACCTCAATTCGAGACAACGAACAAAATTACCTACAACCGTTGTATGCCATATGCCCCATATGATACAACACCCTCCCTTTCAACTAATTAAAATTGCAAATTGATTTTCATTTTTTAAAAACAAATTCCAAAATATCCCTCTATTTTTCCCTTTTTGTAAGAGGACCGTTGTACCACTTGATATAATAGCTGAAATTCTCTCACCTCATAGCAACCTAGGTTGCACCGATACGGACACGGACACGGGTACGATACGGACACGGCAAAACGGCTATCCTAAAATGGGGGACACGGGTACGACAAATAACAAGACAAATAATATATAAAAAACGAAATTTTGACAACCTATTCAACAAAACACTAAATATTTAACCTTAAAACAAGTCATTTACCGTAGCTAATAATATTCTCCTAATTCACATACAATAATGTGGTATGAAATGTGTTTTGAAGGCGCTCGTATTATAAGTCTTATCTTTTTCTCTCATAATTTACCTTAACTTTCTAATTAAAAATAGCACGAAAAAATGAGGTGACATATCAAAATGCAAACCGGATCGTATCATAGTAGGATACGATTCGTCTCAAAGTGTCTAAATATATTTAAAAACTGGAGCAGTTTTTATGTGTGTCCGTCGTGTGTCGAACGAGTGTCGGTGTCCGACACGGTGTCGGATACGGACAAGGTCGTTGGACTAAGTGTCTGTGCATCCTAGATAGCAACAACAATGATGTAGGTGGCTAATTGTAAAACCCATTTTTGTAGTTGTGGAGAAGGCCGCAAAAACCTCTCATATGTCCTCCCAATCCTGATTAGCGAGTTAGGTACTTTGGGAGTGGGGGGGAAAGATAAGAAAATCCTGACCTTAAGGTGTCTTTAGTGAGGTTTGATCAACAACCTTTGTGAGATGTAAACTTTCCTGCTACGACAAGCTTTGTTTGGTTTTAGCTTCTCATAGACGCCTAAGCATTTTCCATACAGAAATTGGTTCTCTCCTCCTTACTTACGCCGGTACATTTACTCCTCCCGGACGACGGCTTTCCAGCGTTCTCTGCAGCCACCGAGTAAATACGCTAACCTATCCCCCTCACATTTTCGTAAAATTTAATAAAGAATTCGTTGTAATTTAAGGGCGAATTCGGTGTAATTTCTTGTTAATGATGCTCTAGGGCTTTTTTTCCCTCTTATTTATGTCATGGAGTTTTTATTTTAAGGAGTTATTGTTTGAATAAAGTATTTTAAATTTGGTTTGATCTTTGTAATTGTTCAATTAGTTTGTTAGTAACTTGATTGGTTGTATGTGGGTGAATTTGGTAAAATTTTTCTTGAATTATTTGTGCATATGTTATGTTGATTGATGATTTGTTGTGGAACTAGTATTATGATTGTTGTGCAAATTGGAGTTATGAATGTTGTTGCTGGTTGATTCAATTGAAGATTAGTTGTAGAACTAGTAACATGATTGTTGTGCGAATTGGAGTTGTGATTGTTTTGGTAGGGTGATTCAATTGAGAGATAGTTGTAGAACTAGTATCGTGATTGTTGTGCGTGTTGTAGTTATGAATGTTGTGGTTGGTTGATTCAATTGAGGATTAGTTGTAGAACTGGTATCATGATTGTTGTGCGAATTGGAGTTGTGATTGTTTTGGTAGGGTGATTCAATTGAGAGATAGTTGTAGAACTAGTATCGTGATTGTTGTGCGTGTTGTAGTTATGAATGTTGTGGTTCGTTGATTCAATTGAGGATTTGTTGTAGAACTGGTATCATGATTGTTGTGCGAATCGGAGTTGTGATTGTTTTGGTAGGGTGATTCAATTGAGAGATAGTTGTAGAACTAGTATCGTGATTGTTGTGCGTGTTGTAGTTATGAATGTTGTGGTTCGTTGATTCAATTGAGGATTTGTTGTAGAACTGGTATCATGATTGTTGTGCGAATTGGAGTTGTGATTGTTTTGGTAGGGTGATTCAATTGAGAGATAGTTGTAGAACTAGTATCGTGATTGTTGTGCGTGTTGTAGTTATGAATGTTGTGGTTCGTTGATTCAATTGAGGATTTGTTGTAGAACTGGTATCATGATTGTTGCGCGCATTGGAGTTATGAATGTTGTGGTGGGGTGATTCGATTGAGAATTTGCTGTGGAAGTGTGGAAATGCTTTATTACTTATCAGTACGAGCTGTGTCAAAAATGCGCTTGCAAAATAGGAGTGGTATGGGGTATCAATTGAATTGACCTCACTTACAGTAAGAACTTCTTCTTTCTACTGGTTTTTGGTGATGATGTGTTGTTTCTTTGCAAATGAAAACTTTTTGGTCGCTAGTTTAATTTTTATTGAATATTAATATGTTATGTATTTGGGTATGCTAATTTCAAAATCTTGGATTCGTCACTGCCTTAGTATATAACTAAATCTACTCTTTCAGCTCTCCAAATAAATCGTTTGTTGCTGCTTTGACCTATCTGCAAATCAAACATTAAATTGTGTTGTTAGTCTGGTCCTGTTTTTTTTGGTTGATTTAATTTCCAGTTCATACTTTATTTATTTATTTTTATTATTATTATATACTTTCTGACAAGTCCAACAATTTTTTGTAGATAAATTGGCATTATGTTATTTGAATGACATTGTTCTGCCTGCTACATAGTTTTTGGAAATTTTCATTTCTGTGCCGTTATTATTATTTATCTATCAAGGCATGAAAAAGTACATTAGGTTAGCCATTGTTGTGCTGCTTAGCTTCATGCTTTGGTTCTGTATATTTCTTGGAGGGGCTTTAATTTTATGGCGGATAATAATATAACTTAACTTATTTGCCCAACAGAAGCTCCACTATGTACTGAGCTTTTTAGCTCAAGCACCCTTCTGCCATTATATTCCTTAGCTTCATAGTATACGAAGTATGAAGGAATGTGAAACAAGGTCATATTAATTGCTTCTTTATTAGTGTCACAGGATTATTTTGGTTGTGCTAAACTACAATGACCACTCATCTACCTGCTATTGCTAACTCCCTTGCGCTGGCTTTGAAAGCAAAGAGCGTAGAAGAGTCTATTTCAATCCTACAGAGAGTGCTTGGGGATCTTTCTTCTTCGCCTGATAACTTGAGCATAAAGGAACAGGCAATTACAAAGCTCACTGAATTTCTGACGCAAGAAAACAAGGCTGAGAACCTTCTGACCCAATTGAGGCCCTACTTCACTTTGATCCCCAAAGCTAAAACTGCAAAAATTGTACGGGGAATTATTGATGTAGTGGCTAAAGTACCTGGTACAACTGAACTCCAGATCTCTCTTTGCAGAGAAATGGTACAGTGGACCCATGTTGAGAAACGAACTTTCCTTCGCCAGCGGGTTGAGGCCAGACTTGCTGCTTTGTTGATGGAGACCAAGGAGTATACTGAAGCATTGTCTCTCCTCTCAAATTTGATAAAAGGAGGTCAGAAGACCAGATGACAAACTTCTCTTAGTAGATATTGAGTTGCTTGAGAGCAAGCTTCATTTTTCTTTGAGAAACCTCCCCAAAGCTAAGGCAGCAGCTAGAACAGCAGCCAATGCCATATATGTGCCTCCGGCTCAACAAGGGTGACTATAGACCTCCAGAGTGGAATACTCCATGCTGAGAAAGATTATAAAACTGCTTATGGCTACTTTTATGAAGCTTTTGAGGCCTTTAATGCTCTTGAGGATCCCAGAGAAGTCTACAGTCTAAAATACATGCTCTTGTGCAACGTGATGGTGAATCAAGCTGATGATGTTGCTGGAATAATATCTTCCAAAGCAGGCCTGCAATACTTGGGCCCAGATCTTGATGCGATGAAAGCTATTGCTGATGCCTATTCAAAGCATTCTTTGAAACTCTTTGAGGCTTCATTGGAGAACTTCAAGGCTCAACTAGGAGAAGATCCTATTATTCACAGGCACTCATCGTCTCTTTATGGTACTCTATTATAGCAGAACCTTTGCAGATTGATTGAACCATTTGTATAAGTTGAGATCGCCCACATTGCAGAATTGATTGAGCTTCACGTTAATCATGTGGAGAGTAAACTGTCTCAAGTGATTTTGGACAAAAGATTTGCAGGGACTCTTGATCAAGGTGTTGGATGCCTCATTATCTTTAATGATCCCAAACTGATGCTATCTATGAAACAACACTAGAATCCATCTCTAATGTTACTAAGGTTGTAGACAGTCTTTTTGACAGATCTGTAAAAATTATGGCCTGAGAGTAAAAGGCTTTGGGACCTTGTAATGTGCCTGTTTTGGTGACATGAAGCATTCTTTCTCGGATAGTAGATCGACCCACTAGCTTAAAAATGAAGAGCTGTAGAAACTGGTGTTTATTTTACAC